ACCACCTATGCTGTAAAGAAACTGTACAAACAAGTGATAGATGGAAAAGATATAAAGACAAATTTCAATCTCCTAGCCAAACAAAGTTCCCTTGGCACAAGCAACCCCAAATAAAATCAGGCTTCAAAGCTGCTGAAGCAGGAAACCACTACAGCAAAAGCTTCATGTGCTTTCTATGAAATCATGTCTCGTTGACTTGCTTATTTTCCAGCCTGAAGTGTGTTTCATCTTTGTTCATGTTGGCTGGGAAAATTGCCTCTACAGTATATTTGTGTTTCCCTTCTACACAGTTCCTTCACCTCTCCTGCACTACCACTACCCATCATAAATGAATGGATGAATTAAATACCTCAAGTGAAAGAAAGAATAACACGAGAAAACATACAGACTCAAAAATACAAAATAAAACTCCTCAATCCCCCGCGCAAACATATGTGTAAAAGTTTTAGTGGAAATTAAGTGGAAACCCTGGTCAAGATAGACAAAATAATGATACTGTTTTTAAAAGTCATAGATTCCTTGTTAGAATAAAAAAAAATTTTACATAGTACTAAACGTTGCATATTTTACCCAATATGTGCAACAAGTAAAAATCGTGTCTTCCTGAAGTAAATCTCCTTTGCAGGGCAGTTTTATAGAGTATTTATTACAGAGTCAAATCAGTGGGAGCAATGAGCCTGTGTTTATGAACTCAAAATATTGAAGTTTAGCATATGACTCATAGTTGCAGTTTTATATCAGTCATTATCCAAGTTATTTTTGGTTCTATTTTGGGTTGCTGAATATAAAGAAAATTCTGATTCACACAGATATTATTGTAATTGAGATAGTTTCAAATTGATTTAGACCCTTGAAAAGCATATTTTGTTTTAAAGTTGAGTAACTAGCATTAAGTAGCAGCACTTCCCTTTCTTCTTTATAAATATTTAGATAACTCAGAAAATGTATCCTAAGCACTTGGCAGTTACTAGTGGGGTGGAGCAATTGTGTTCTCACCCTCCAACCATGATGAGCCAACATTGGACCCTAAGTCTTCTGCGGTGTGTAATCTTCCACCTATACAACTTTATCCAAGGAAGAATGCACAGTCTTGGATTTAGAACTAAGCTTCTGGAGAACTGTATCCATTCTAACCAGTAATTTTTTTATAAGTTCTTGTACATGCTTTAGATTCTTTATTTGGCTTATAGACAGCAAAACTCACCTTGCACCAATGGGATATTGTGATACTTACATCAGAGAAAGTGAGTCCTAAGTTCCTTGCTCATTTAATTGGGGGTTGCTTATTTGAATGAGTTTGTTACAGTTTGGAATTGAACTGTGAATTTCTAAATCTAAACTGTAAATTTCAGAGTTTCTCTGAACACATTTTAAAAAATCTCTTGTTCCCAGGGTCATGGAGATAGCTCAGTGGGCTGAGTTCCTCTGTATGAATTCCACTTTGCATGTCGGAGGCCTGGGACTGTCAGGAGTCACCCCCTCAGCACTGCCAGAGCTGATGGTAGCACCCAAGCCCCGCCAGGTGTGGACCCAAATCCAAAAAAGAGCTTCTGCTTACTGAAACAAATAATAACTATCCTTCTACATGTTGTAAAAATGGAAATGAATACATGTGATAAAAGCATGATCATCCCCTAGAATATAATATACAAATATAGGTTATAAATATATAAATATATGTATATATTTAATAATAAATAAATAATAATAAATAAAATAATAAAATATCAGTTTATTTGTATTAAATGACAAGGCATCTTTGAAAGATTCCTATTTATACCCAAACTTTTTTATTATTAACTCATCTTTTTACTTATGCTTTCCCATTGAAATTTATGCTCTGCTTCCTTTACCATGTGTTAGATTGATTTTGCCTTTGCTCTCTACTCTTGTGATGTGTGTTGTACATTTGTGAGCAAGCAGGCCCTTTGTTCTTATCTTACCATTCTGGTATATTCTAGGCTTTCATTTCTCACAGCAGTGTTACATCAACACCTTCATAATCACAAAACCACTCTTTATTTGGTGAGATTGAATTGCAGTGATGTTTTATATGTATGAAACATTATAGAGAGAAAAAAAGAGGGACTCTGAAGATGTTTAAGTCACAGAGCACACGTGTAGCCTGAGCAAAGCCTTGAGTTCTATTCCCAGCCTGCTTTTCCGCCCAACCACCAGTAGTACTGAATCACCACACCTACACTGCTCAATTGAGCATCAGCAGATCATTCACACCTGATCACCTATAAAAACAGATTGGACTCAGTTGGAAGATTAAGAACTTTTGAAATTGCCCTCTTGAAGTATAAGTGTACTTACATATCTGATATATCCTATACTTACCAAGTATATGGGTATCTTCCCAAGAGAAGCCACATCAAAAAAATAAAAGCTAAATTTTATAGGATTTTGCACAGAAACTGATTTTGAATCAATTTGGAAGTTTTATACAACAGGAGAATTAAATGCCACTGAATGCATATGTCCAAATACTTCACCATTTTGAATTTAGGATAATTTCCTTTCTAAAAAGCACTGTAGCGGGGCTGGAGCAATAGCACAGCGGGTAGGGTGTTTGCCTTGCATGCGGCCGACGCATGTTCAATTTACAGCATCCCTTATGGTTCCCCGAGCACCGCCAGGAGTGATTCCTGAGTGCAGAGCCAGGGGTAACCCCTCAGCATTGCAGGGTGTGACCAAAAAAGAAAAAATAAATAAATAAATAAATCACTCCCGTTGCTCATCGATTTGCTCAAGCGGGCCCAGTAACATCTCGATTGTGAGACTTTGTTGTTAACTGTGTTTGGAATATCGAATACGTCACGGGTAGCTTGATACTCTCAGTAGCTTGCCGGGCTCTCCAAGAGGGGCGGAGGAATTGAACTTGGGTTGGTCATGTTGGCTGCTTGCAAGGCAAATGCCCTACCCGCTGTGCTATCGCTCCAGCCCAAATAAATTAATTAATTTTTTTTAAAAAAGCACTGTTCATTGATTTGCTCGAGCAGGCCCAGTAACATCTCCATTGTGAGACTTGTTGTTACTATGTTTGGCATATCAAATACGTCACGGGTAGCTTGCCAGGCTTTGCCATGGAGGCAAGATACTCTCAGTAGCTTGCTGGGCTCTCTGAAAGGGGCAGAGGAATCAAACCCAGGTTGACCGGGCCAGCCGCATGAAAGCCCTACCACTGTGCTATCACTCCAACCCTTTTTAAAGACTGGATTGATGTGAATGTTTCTTCAGCTACTATTTATTTTTCCTATAGAAATATTTTAATTTCCCTACAAGGTGGTTGGGCAATATTTTGCTAAGAGTTGGGGATTTTGACTCCAGGTCATCAGGGATCAGGAGTCGGGGTAAGGTATAAAAGACTTTCAATTTGGACTGTAAAGAATTATTGGTTTGAAGCAACTGCTTGTTGTTAGCTAGTCAGATACTTGATTTAATGGTCTGGTGTGTTCTGAAGTCAGTAGGTGTGGTGTGATTATTTGTTAATAACAGTCTTCTGCAAAATAGAAAAATCTTTTCTAAGTTTAAATCCATGCTCTACAAATCACAGGTGCCCTGCAGCCTCCAGTCCTCAGTGAAAGCAAGTGAGGAAACAACCAAGTCACTCTCAACTAGCTTTCTTTTTAGAGTCGTATTGGAAGGAGGAGAGAAGGGAAAAGGAGCAAGATGTGGTTCTTGCAGCTAAGATCATACTCTTTGTAATTACAAGACCTAGTTTTTAGTTCCAGCATTACCACTTTTTAGCCATATGATACTTAACCTTTCTTAATCCAACTTTCCTCATCTGTCAAAGGTGATTAATAACACCTCTTTTCATCAGGCTTTGTGGGTTTCAAGTTAAACAATATGAGACAAATGTACAGTAAGCCTCAATACCACAAACAATCCCTGCTCTTTCTCTCCATTAGAAACCCAGCTTGCAGGGGCCTGAAAGAGAAGTGGGGCACCTTCCTTGATGCAGCCAACCTGGGTTTGATCCCCAGCATTGCATATGTTTTTTCCAGGCACTCCCATGAATGGTCACTGAACACTGAGCCAGGAGTAAGCCCTGAGCACAGCTTAGTGTGGTCCAAAAAAGAAAAGAAAAAGAAATTCAACTCACAGATGTGGAACTTGCTGCTGCTTCAATTTGCATAGTGCTAGATGTTTAATAATTCTTTTGGATCACTGTGTTTTATTAAAAATGAGCACTAGAGTTGCTTTAGTGAGGAACTAGCAGTTCCACTGCTTTGCTCAGTTTTAGTTATAGTTTCACTGCTTACATAGAGTTTTTACCCTTGATTGTATGACGTAAAGAACTCTTGGATGTGGGAGATAATGACTCAGTGAAATCAAAGTCTACTTAAATGCCTTCTGTAGAACTGAAAAGTGCGGAAATACTTTTTTTTCTTAATGACAAATGCCTCTACAGTTATCTTCATAGATTTTAAAATGCATATATGTGTGGCATTTAGGGAGTCTAAACTGATTCCTAACTTCTGTCTCTGACTCTCAGTACAAACCATGACTTAGTGAATTAGGTATAGATTTTGAAGCCAGTTTAGATATATTCTAGTTGGACATACAGAATTGTGATTATGTTCTCTAATTCTTGCTAGCTCTTTGACTCCTTATTAACTCAGTGTAAGTGACAGCTCTCTGAGTTTCAATATTCTAATTAATAAAATAGGGGGAGAATGGTAGCTTTTTTTCCCTTTACAATGAGAAGTGGAATATAGATGAGATAAAGTATATAAAGCATTCACCAAATTACTAGAATATAGACATGCTCTGCAGAAAATCCTGTCTGTCCTCCATCTCTTATTAACCTTTCCCTTCCTTTTTGATTATCCTTATTTTCTCACCAAGGTTTTTTTAAAAAAGGAAAGATGGAGATACTTTACTTATAATCTGACCTTCCTCACTGTGCTTTTGAGACATGGACTATAGTTGTAGATGTTGATTGTGACAGCTTACCAATACTAATTCTTTTTCTTGTTGTTCCTCTGCAGGAAGGATCAGAATGTTCTCTCTCCAGTCAACTGCTGGAATCTCCTCCTAAACCAGGTGAAGCGGGAGAGCAGGGACCACACCACACTGAGTGACATCTACCTGAACAATATCATTCCCCGATTTGTCCAAGTCAGCGAAGACTCAGGAAGACTCTTTAAAAAGGTATATAGATATTTCTCATAACACAGATTCTTGGATAGTATCTTTTAATAATATCTTCTAACCTAAAGAAAGAATAAAAGAATTAACTAAAAGAATAAGCTTTTCTATTGTTCATTCCATACATTATTCCATGTACTTGTGGAGAAAAAGTATTGACTTGTCATTCTTTTCTTCTTTTTCAAGCTGAATTAATAATAAGCCTAAGAAAGTCACTATTTCCAAAGTATAGCCCCAGGACTGGCAGCATAATATATATTTTGCAGATATTAATAATGATGGTAGTCAGTTTCCTTCAACTGATTTGTGAATCTTTTGAGATTCAGTGTCATTTTATATTTTAATCATCTATATGATTTAGTAAATTCATGTATGTTTATGTTTTTTATTTAGTTCTCTTTATAAATTCTTATTTCAATCAAGGTGAACTCATGAATTCTGTTATTCTTCTCATAATATATCTTTGTCTTTGGGTCCGTGAGTGTTTTCTTGAAGCTCAGTTGTCAGGATTCCTGGGGTGTTTGAACAAAGAAAAACTCAAAAATAACTGTGGTAAACTTAAGTAAAGTTTAATTATTTAATAACTTAGCTAAATTTATCTTATCTGTCTTGGTTACAAATGATAACAAAGGGTCTATCCAATGTACTTAATCTACCATGTCCAGAACACTTTCAGAAGGCAAATAATGTTCCCACAGGCTACAAGTATAACGAGGATATATAGAGCTCTTTCATTGACTTCAGATTTTCAGTGAATAAAGTCCGGCATTAATATTTGAAACTGATAGATTGTGAAAAGTATGGTGGTTAGTAAAAAGAAAGAAGGGGCGGGAAATGAGTAGAAAGTAAGTACTTTGGTGGGGGGGGGGTAGTATTGGGACTTTGGTGGTAGGTACAGTGAGTATTAATCATAAATAGAGATATAAACCTATATCTGGGAATTTTATAGTATTATTAACCATAATATAATGTTGGCTGCGTGCAAGGCAAACGCCCTACCGCTGTGCTATTGCTCCAGCCCAGATATAGCACAGCGGTAGGGCGTTTGCCTTGCACGCAGCCAACATGGCCGACCCGAGTTCGATTCCTCCGCCCCTCTCGGAGAGCCCGGCAAGCTACCGAGAGTATCTCGCCCACACGGCAGAGCCTGGCAAGCTCCCCATGACGTATTTGATATGCCAGACACAGTAACAACAAAGTCTCCAATGGAGACGTTACTGGGCCCACTCGAGCAAATCGATGAACAACGGGAGGGCCTTTACCTTTACCTTAATATAATATAATAATATAGTGTTATTAGTATAAGTTAACAATAACCAAAGTTAAAGCTGGGAGAGAAGGGACTTAGAAAAATCATAGCAGAGTCAGCGTTAGTCTGTTTTCCAATTCTTAACATTAGAAAACTTTCCAGGTCTCAGTATTGCCTAAATATGAACCATGCTTCTTTTGTTTGTACCAACATGGAAAAAAAGATACTGGTTTAGATTTGTCTTTCTACATAATTGTGTCTGTGAAGGGCCCTTTCCTGCATGTTAGAGGCAATCAGATTAAACTTGCAATCATCTGATAGTGGAAAAAAGGAAGAAAAGGTTAACTTCCCCCAGACCTCACTGACTATTTTTCGTGACCCAGTTGTGCTGTGGTTGGAACCGTAGTTCATTTAGGGGTGCAGGTGCTTTTCATCATTTTTTTCATGATTTTCAGCAACTGCTTTAGCTTGCTCATCATTTATTTGAATTATTCTCCAATACTTGATGATGTGTATATATTTGACAAAAATTAATGATTATAGTTAGTAGTAATCCAGTATTGAAAACTGGAAATATCTAAGATAGTAAATTCAGGTGATCTTTTCACACATGCAAAGAAATCACTCTGTGAGGAGATATGTTGCTTAGCATGGCTATAATTATCTTTTACTGAGTAACATGAATCATGTTGTGTATTTCAAATATGTACAATTTTTAGTAGAAAATTTAGAGCCAGAAAGATAGCTTTGGTGGTAGAGTACATGTGAGACCCTATGTTCGATCTGGGCCACTACACAGATCCCTGAGCACCATGAGGTATAGCATGTACCACCAGGGGTGGCCTGGTAGACCCCAACCTCTCCATGGCTGGAGCATCTCCAGAAATGGCTCTCTTGAGTTCTCTGAAGAGGTTCCTATAAAAAAAAATTTTAAGCCTGTTTAGGAAGAACCTTGACAGCAGTCAGATATCATTGCAGCTCTTCTTTGTGATCTTGGCAGCTTCTTACACTGTTCCAAGAAGGGAAAAAAACCTTTTCTTCTTGATAGTTTTTTCCTCTATTTTCTCCATTTAACTGAGAAAAAAATTTCTAATGAACTCACAAAAACTATTGTGTTCTGCTGTCTTGACTTTGTCTAATCTCCCAGCTCCCCTCTCTCCCAACTTTGAACAGTTAGAGAAAAATAAGTGGAGTATGTCTTAGAGCTCCTCCAGACCTTTGAGATCAGAGGTCTCTGAGAATCTCAGAAATCTGGTGAAAATAACTAGATCTGAAGACAACCAGATTTCAGAGTAAGAAGTTTGAAATGGTGGCCATTCAAATTTCACCCAAGTTCTAAGTGCATGGCATGTATTATTAGATGTGACCATTAACCCTCCAGAAAGAAAATTTACCTCTGAAAGCTATTCTTAACTCAGTCTCTCTGTATATAATCATATAATATAAATGTTTGTTGTCCAGTCTCTCTGTGTTCTTCAGTTGATCTTAGAACATGTAATTCTGTGCTGAGGGTATAAAGAAGAATTTCTAGTTACTCACAGGACTATTGATATATTATATTTCAGTGAAGAAAAACTGACATAGACTTAAAGATAGGTGCATTTTAACAAACTCAACATATCTGTGCAACTACTCATAGGTCAAGAAGCAGAGTATTTAAGTATCCCAGATAATACACCCCCCATTGGCCCCTCTAATAATTAGGGTCTTGGGAGGGGAGTCTCAAAAATCAAGAATAATAATCATCCTGGTACTTAACTGTAGAGGTTACAAGGCCAGAGAAGTAGTACAGTGGTAAGGTGCTTTCCTTGCATGTGGCTAATCCTGGTTCAATTCCCAGCACCACATTCGATACTCCAAGCATCTTCAAGAGCACAGAACCTAGAGTAAGCCCTGGGTACTCCCAGGAATGATGAAAGAAAAGAAATGAAGGAAAGGAAGGAAGCGAGGGAGAAAGGGTGAGAGGGGCATACCTGGCAGTACCTGGGAGCCACACCCTACTCCATGCCGTGGTCACTTCTTGCTTTCAAGGGACCACGAGGGCTTAGAGATTGAGTAAGACCCTCCAACAGGCAAAGTATTCACTCATTTCATTGAGCTCTCTGAACTTCATACTTTATATAAATAGAATCTTACAATATACATTGTTTGGTGTCTGGTTACTCTCATTCAACATTATGTTTGGGAGTTGTTTATATGTTGTCTGTAGTTGAACATATGTTGTCTACAGTTGAATATTATCGGACTTTCTCTTAACCTTTATCACTTTTATTTTATTTTCTTTATCACTTAATCAATTAAATTTTAGTTAGAGATACATATAGTATTACTGAAAAACCAGTGATTAACGGTCCTACAGTATCAGTAGTATAAACTAGAGCAGAAATCAACAACATAGAAACCAAGAGAGTAATTCAAAGAATCAGTGAAACCAGGAGCAGATTCTTTTTTATTTTTATTTTTATTTTTTTTTTATTATTAGTGAAACACCATGAGGTACAGTTGTAGATTTACAGTTTTTTGTGCTTGGGTTTCGATTATACAATGATCAAATACCCATCCCTCCACCAGTGCCCATTTTCCACCACCATGGATAATATCCCTCCCACCCCCATCCCCCCCATCCCACCCTGCCTCTGTGGCAGGGCAATCCCTTGTGTTCTCTCTCAGGAGCAGATTCTTTGAAAGAATAAACAAGATAAATTAGCTAGCTCACATGAAAGAAAAAAAAAAGGAGAGAAAATGTCCAAATTAATCAGATCAGAAATGAAAGAGAAGAAATTACAACAAATCCATCAGAAATTCAAAATGTGATGAGAGGTTATTATGAACAACTTTGAGCTCTTAAGCTGGAGAAATTAGAAGAAATATATAGGTTCTTTGAGTCATGTAATATCCCAAAGCTGAAATAGAAGGAAATAGAAAGAGGCATCACAAGTTAAGAAATTGCAACAGTTAGAATCTCCCCAACAACAAAGTCCCAGTTCAGATAGGTTCATTTTTAAGTTCTGTCAAACCTTCAGAAAAGATTCACTGCCCTTATTTTTAAGTTCTTCAAAAATGTTGAAGATACGAGAATTCATCCTAATACAATTTATGAAATTACATCACAGTAATACACAAAGCACAGAACACTTCCAGAAATGAAAATCTCAGACCAATTTTCCTAATGAAGATTGATATAAAAATCCTTAGAATGTTTGTTAACCAAATCCAGGAACATACAAAGAAAACCATACATAGAACACCCTTAAATAGTCCGAAATTAAAAAGCTACTAGAAACAATACACTAGTAAAGCAAAGTAGCCCGCTACAAAGTCAATCAATACACAAAAAATGGGGAAAAGAAGTGAACAGAAACAGAGACTTCTCAGAAGAAGACAGGCAATGGCCAGTAGGCACATAAAAAGTGCTCAGTATCACTTATCATTAGAGAAATCCAAATCAAGATGACAGTGAGATATCTTCTCATACCAGTGAGAATGGCACATATCAAAAATAGTGAGAACAATTTGTGTTGGCAGGGATGTGCTGGTAAAGAGCTCATGCACTTCCACTAGAAATGTCTGGTTCAACCCTGGTGGGATAATATGAAGAGTTCCCAATAAATTTAGAACTGAGTTGCTATATGACACAGCAATTCCACTTTGGGGAACCTACCACCAAGACATCATTCATTCAAAAGGACATATGCACATCATTATTCCTTGCTGTATAATAGCTAACATACGGAATCAACCTAGATACCCAACG